GCCCGCACTAGCGCACTGCAGCCCAAAAACGGAGGACTTGAGAGGGGGGACGCCCCGACGGTCGAGGAACGGGGTCACCACCGGGATACCGCCACCGGTCGACGAACCATGGCCCGTCCAGCCTGGCCATCGAACAACCGGGTGATGAGTCGCGGCCTGGACAGCCGGTCTCACGTAGGCGGAATTTAAAACTACCGCCGGCGGATGGAAGCAGATGCAAGGGGCGCCCTCGCAAGGCGCGGTGATCGCCTAGAGGGATCGCTAACGTGCCAGGGCGCAGCACCGACCGGGCTAGGGATACCGGCGCGCGCGGGCCCAGCGTGGTCCCGCCGGGCCGAGGGAACGGCACTGTCGTGCGAGCCGCCATCGAGGTACCATCCAGCCCTGCGAGCCGAACGTAGCTGGAATAATACCGAGTACTATACCGCGGGAGGGCCCGTACGGGAAAGTGATCGCGAGTGCCCGTCTCGGGGATTCAAACGAGCGGTCGCCGACAATCAGCGTGCGTGTAATTTTGTTGCGTGTAATTTCGTTGCGTGTAATTTTTCTAATCGTCGTTTGTTTAACCGTGCCGTATTGTAGCGAATCGCGTTGGGAAAACGGTCCGCGTTGATGATTGTGCGTGGCGAGATGAGCTCTTCGTGAGCATCACGTGATCGCGCCGTGGCGCCGGGTCATTCGGAACTCGCGTAATCGGGAGATTCGCGGAGGTTGCTCTCGCGCGTGCGAGAGTCTCGTGACTGCCGTTTCTGGTTAAGTTCGCGCTAATTGTAAGTGGATGTTATCGTTTCTGGTTAAGTTTGTGCTAATTGTAAGTGGATGTTCGTGCATTTCATCGGGATTAATGGCTCACGGTTGTGCCGCGTACTGGTGAGTCCATTCGTGCATCTCGTTGTGAATAATGATTCACAGTTCTGTAGCGGTAAATTGTAAGTAAATTGCGTTAGTCGTAAAAGCGGGACTTCGTGCGTTGTTGTGAGTAAATGTTTTCAAGTATGTCGCGTTTGACCGTCCGGGTAGAATTCGCTGCGATTTCTGTCGGGGAATAGTCTTGTACGAATTCGACCGGGATTGCTGTGCAGTTCGACGACGGAATGAGTATCGCGCTCGTGGGGTGACACGTAGCGCGTACTCGGATTCTGCTTGTTCGCCGTGGGACACGTTCACCTCCGTCCACATGCTGTCGATTTTACTTAATCTAAATATATTTGCCTGTTTATTGTTAACCTGGTTAATTGCGCTACGCTCTTATACAATACATACGCAAAGATACATAAACATTTATAAGACCTTTCATCTTAGTGGTCAAATAAGCCAAGGAATATCTCCTTCAAGTTTGTCTACTTTATACTTAGGAAACACCTTGTATAATGTTTATTGTTTTCTCGTAAAAACATTTTTTAAAAAAATGTATATCTATTATAGCTTTAACATATTGTTAGTGAGTGAGTGTTGGGGTAGCTCTCAAAAGGGTTAGTTGATCGGAAATACCGTGAGACTTTGTTCTCGAAAGATTTTTATTACTTTCTCCTTAAGGGGATCCTGCAGCTGTATGATTTACCGACATTATCGTTTTTCGATGGATCTTTTAATTGGTTTTATAGAATTGCAAAAATTTTTTACAGAATTAAAGTACGCACAAAAATCTAGGGTAACAAACGCGATTTTATATCAAAAACATCAAAAAATTAAAAATATTATTTATTTGAGCACATACACAGCTGTCACCTGACGACATTATTTGCTTAAAACAAAAATTCTGCAGTTTATGCATACATAATGTTTATCATCTGCCCTTGGAAAAACATGTAGGAATAATATCGTGCAAGTAGAAGTAAGATTCAATGCGTACAAAAAAAGATCCATCGAAAAATTATTTTAGTAATGCAAATACGGATGCAGAATGACAAGAAGAGCAGCAACAGTAGTTGCCGGATCTTGCGAGAGATGGCGAGCAATCGAAAAAAGGACAGATGTCATTTTGTTAGACAAAGACAGATATAGGGAAAACAAAATTAGAAAGGTTGACATTATCGACATCGAGGAAGTTCGCCTATCACTGCAGGATCCCCTTTAACGCTAATCGGGCGACCTTCTACAATGGCTACCGTCCAACGACTAACTGCTGCCTCCTTCGTCCTTTCTTACGCGCGCTGCGCTATCCGCTCGTTTCCCGCTCGCGTAGCCTCCCATCTCTCGGCTCAATCCAAACTTCCTAGCGCTCAACATCCTGCCCGCCTTGAAAGGCTCGGCTTTCAACAGTATTACTACAATCATGCTCAAGAATATAAAACTATGTCACGTTTTGACTGTTATTGTTCGTCCGTTTTTTAGTCAATGCATTTAAGTAATTTACCAGGGATTTGGACAAGTCGTGTGAAGGATATTATTATTATATTTATTATTCGGGACCGAAAAGATATCTGAGTTTATACGTTTGGTAACGAGGATCAGTTTTATCTATTTAATTATAATTAGGATAATCAACGTCGAAATCGACAGGAATAGGTTTAAATAGAGGTGCGTTTTCTAGTTGTTGCAATTGTTGGAGGAAGGGGAGAGGATCTTGATTAGAAATGACTGCTTGTTTGATCTGGAATCTGATTCGTTTAATTTGAACGCGCCTACCTCCTTTTTTCGTCATTCAGCCGCGTTCACGAAAATGAATTTTAAGCTTGCCACACTTTTTGGCAGCGCTCTAAAACCAATCCGCCACACCCTCTGCTCGCCACACTCTTCGTCAGCGCTCAGATCGTCAGCGTAGAGGTCAAATTCACTTTCGGGAATTTATCGAGATTATTGTCTTTTCTGGAAACCAACCCTGTAATCGCCATGCTTTCGGCAGCAAAAGTACCGGATCGCCACACTCTTCGTCAGCGCCCCAGCACAGATCGCCACGCTTTGTCAGCGACAACCGCGAGTCGAATCTTAGAATTGATCGATTATTAATTAAGAATACGAGATGAGATTCCAGATTTTCAAACTTGTTCCTTTTCAAACTTATCTTACCTTTATTCTAAAAGTCTCAGTACAACTTGAAGCGCGGTCTTATAAGGTATGAGAGTACAGGGACTAAGTCCCAAGATCGAGCGCGAATGCTCGGATTTAGAAGTACAATCGAATATAGGATTTAGGAATGGTTGAGCAATTGAAGTGCTAGAGCCGAAGGAATGGCTAAGCAATTGGAATGCTAGAGCCGAAGGAGTATGTGGCTGAGCAATTGAAATGCTAGAGCCAAAAGGACTTGTGTAAGGAACCGGAGCTCAGAACTATCTGACTGTTTTTCCGCCCTATTTATACCCGAAAAAGACCGGAATCTCCCGTGTGACATTCCCGCCTTTTTCCTACGCGTCTTAAAGGGGGAGGTATTTTAGAAGCTTCTAGAACATTCTAGAAACGTAGTTTTGGGCCCCATCTGACCCGCAGCCTTCCAAGGGTCGTCCGATAAGATAAACATTTACTGGAAACTGAGCGTACCCTCGGAACTCCGAGGCTAGCGTGCGTCGTCTAAGCGTTCGAATTTTCAACGTGTCGTCCGAAATTTAGTATAAAATTTCCGTACGTAACAACTAATACACTGGTAAGATACGAGACTTACAATATAAATAGTACGCTCATATAATAAAAAACAATGTTACAAGGATAAGAATACTAATAATACAAAGTTTATCTACGGTAAAGAAACAAAGTTATGCTTATTCATCTAACGGTAATATGCAAATTTTTTGTATAACACGTTGGGTTAATCCTAACTGGGTTCTTATCTCTACTGTTCTAATTAATCCATCAGATCCTCTAAAAACCTGATACGACCTAATCTCCATTGTAGCGGAGGCGCATTATCATCGCGCAGCAACACAAGAGCGCCTATCTTGAGGTGAGGATTGGGCAGTGTTTCTTTCCATTTTTGTCGAGACTGAAGCTGGGTAACATATTCTCGCATCCAACGTTTCCAGAATCCTTGCACGAAACTGGATAATAATTGAAATCGTGATAAACGGTTTAACGGAACCTCATCAAGATCGGGCTCTGGTATCGCGGTTAGCGGGGCTCCTACCAAAAAATGCCCGGGCTTAAGCGCCGTCAAATCCGAAGGGTCCGCTGATACGGGTGTAAGTGGCCTCGAATTCAGTATTGCTTCTATTTGCGCGAATACCGTGGTCAACTCCTCGAATGTCAAACTTGTTGGCCTAATCACCGCCTTTAAATGAGATTTTGCCGATTTTACCGCAGCTTCCCACAATTCTCCGACGTGAGGCGAGTAAGGTGGGATAAATGTCCATTCAATCATTTGTTCGGCAGTAAACTCTAGAATTTTACTCTTTACAGACTCACTTTGCAAAAATTTTGCGAGATTGTTTAGCTCGTTCTTTGCTCCTACGAAATTTCTACCGTTGTCTGAATAGAGATGACAACTATTACCGCATCGCGCTATAAATCGTTTTAAAGTGTTAAGAAATGCAGCTGTGGACAAATCTGATACGACTTCAAGATGTGTAGCCTTAGTGGCCATATACACAAATACAGCTAAATAAGCCTTGCTTTTTTTGTTACGCGAGATTTTAATAGTAAATGAGCCGGCATAATCAATCCCCGTATGAGCAAACGGACGCCCCGGATTTACTCTCGCCGCAGGTAAATTACCCATAATTTAATTTAAACTCGGTGGCGCTTTACGAAAGCATAGTATACATTTCCGCAGTGTTCGAGGAATCTCGTTTCTCGCAGATACAATCCAGTAGGTTTTTATAATTATCGCGCTTAAAGTATTGGTACCTGCGTGCAAATTTTTATAGTACATTTCTCTGATGAGTAGAGTGGAAAAGGGATGTTTTGATGGAAGGATAATGGGAAATCGCTGATCATAACTAAGTGCTGCGTTCATCAGCCGTCCACGCACTCGAAATACTCCCCTTTCGTCCACGAATGGATTCAGAGACAGGATGCGGCTGTTCCGAGAAACCTTCCCCTTGTTACCTTTGTCCCAAATTTCTTGAGCGAATGCTTGTCGTTGTGCCATCTTGACTAGCGCAGTGTTAGCTGCTGTCAACTCTTCCACCTTTAAAGATCCAATGCGGCGTTGCGATGCCTGCTTACGACAGTTTTCTACGAATCTATAGCAATAAGCAACTATCCGCCGTAACTTAGATAACGATGAGAACCTTTCCAACAAATTATATTCATCCTCTTGAACCGTTACAAGGACAGTTCCGCGCGATTTCTCTTGCAATTCTTCGGGGATTTCTTTAATGATATCATTAGGCCATTGATCCGAGCTTGCTCTTAGCCAGGGAGATCCTGACCACCACATTTCCGATTTTGGCAATTCTCGAGGATCTATACCCCGCGAAATTATGTCTGCCGGGTTTGATTTTGTACGCACGTGTCGCCATTCATCTTGCCGTGTCAGCCTTTGTATATTTGATACACGATTTGCTACAATGACCTTGTACTTAGCTGGGTCACCTCGAATTCAGTGGATGACGATGCTCGAATTGGTCCAATAAATGTATTTGTGGATTTGAAGTGTAAGAGCCTTCTTTATTTTACAAGCGAGTTTTGCTAACAGTACTGCACTACATAATTCCAACCTTGGTATGGAAAGGATCTTCAGTGGAGCTATGCGCGACTTTGAAGTTAACAGTCTTGCTGTTCTGTTCCCTTTTGCATCAATCGAACATAAATAAATGCACGCGCCATAAGCTGACTGAGACGCATCACAAAATCCGTGCATCTCTATGTGTACTGCTTCCCTTGTTACTACCTGCCGTGGTATTTTAATTTCTTCCATTGCTTCGAGTCTCTCCTTATAAGAATTCCACTCAAGCATTAATTCGACAGGTATCTTGTCATCCCAATCGATGCTCAATTTCCACAATCTTCGCATAAATAGCTTAGCCTTCACTACTACAGGTCCGATAAGGCCCATCGGATCATAGATTTGTGCGATAACGTAAAAGATACTACGTTTAGACTTACAAGGTCCAGCAGGTATAGCCACCTTGAATATGAATGTATCTTCTTGGGAGTTTCAACGAATTCCTAGCGTCTTTGTCTCCTCTCTTGAAGTAAGAGAAACTTCCGTTTCCGAGCTTGGTAGTAGCTCCGATGCGTTGGAGTGCCATTTTTGCAATTCCATCCCTGCCGATGCTAGAATCTGTATCACTTCCTGCTTTCGTCGTTGTAATCGTTGCACTGACTTACTTCCAATCCCCCAGTCATCCATATAAAAGTCATCTTCGATTGACCTTGCAGCATCTGGATATACCTTGGCGTTGTCGATTGCTAATTGTTTAAGACATCTTTTTGCTTGATATGCAGCTGACGCTGTCCCATAAGTCACCGTTGTTAGCTCGTACGTGCGGATTGGAGCCTGAATGTTTTCTCTCCAAAGAATCCTCAGCAATGCTCTATCTCTCCTTGCGATCTTAATCTGCCGGAACATTTTGACTATATCTGCCGTTAAGACATAATCGTCCTGGCGCAACCGTAGCACGTGGTTTGAAAGCTCTGGTTTTGTCTCGGGTCCCACCATCAGCAAATTATTTAATGAAATTCCCGAGGACGTTCGGCAAGATGCGTTAAATACTACTCTGAGTTTAGTTGTATCACTTTCTTCGCGTGTAACTCCATGGTGAGGCAAATAATTTACAACGTCTGGGTCCTCTTGATTCTCAGGAACTAACTCCATATGACCCATACTCTCATATTCCTGTAGGAAACTCAAATATCTTTGATGTAATATCGGATCCTTCGCAAATCTACGCTCCATGGATTTTAAGCTCTTCATTGCGTTATGCTCACCCAAGCTCTTGATCTCGCCCTTTAATGGCAGAGATACCACGAATCTCCCGTTTTCATTCCGATAGGTAGTTGACTCAAAGTGCTTCTCACAGGCCACCTCTTCAAGCGTCAGATTTCTCTCTAGCTCACATCGCTCGATTTCCCAAAATCTTTCTAGTTGCTCATTTAGATCTCCATTGGTTATTGTGCAGCAAATTCTACTAGTTGGGGTTGTTCCTATAGGCATAAGTTTCCCTCCTAATATCCATCCTAGGCTGGTTTTCTGAAACACCGGCTGTTCGTCGCTAAGTTGAATTCTTTCTTGCTGTAGAATGCTCCAAAACACCGATGCGCCAAGTAACATATCCACCTTTTGAGGCACGTTGAACGTTGGATCAGCCAATTATGAAAAGAAAATAGATTCAGGGATTTGTAATTGGGATGCCTCTACTCGATTTCCTGGAATTCTGCTAGTAATCTGATCAATCACTGTAAAGGTTAAAGACTCTGAATACTTGGGCAATTTTGATTTGACAGTCGCAGTTACCATTTCAGTTGTAAGAGTGGTATTTCCACGAAATCCGGTTACTCTACCTTCAACTTTCCTTGGCTTTAAGTCTAATTTGTTAAGCAGATCGGAAGTTATGAAGTTAAGAGTTGCAGCGTTATCTAATAAAGCACGAGCATTGTGCAACTTGCCATTCCTGTCAACAATATGCGCACCCATGCGGTAGATAACAAGATTTCGGGGCTTGTGCTCTTAGAGGCACACGTTACTACAGAGTTTGCTGCTGGTACACTTTTAATTTTCTCTATTTTTTTCTCAGCTCCCTTTTCACTTTCGCTTTTACTCGCATTATCACTAGTGTTATAATGTAGCAATAAATGGTGTTTTTTGTTACAATACCTACATGTATCAGACCTACACTCTCGAACCAAGTGACCTGAATGCAAACAATTCAAACAAAGTTTCAATTTACGCGCTTCATCTACTCTCGACTGAACGGATAAGCTCTTAAACGTATCACACATGTAGACTTTGTGATTTTTCTTGCATACCGGACAAGTTAATTTAGAATCGTTTGTGACATGCGCTACACCTTTATTCTTCTTATTAGATTTATCGCTATCTTTCATTGTACTATCGAATGCGTTAACGTGTTACATTTAGCTTCTAAGAACGCAATAAAGTCTTTAATTTTATATTCCTGTTTTTGCACAGTTTTCTTTTCCCATTCATGCACTGTGACAGGATCTAAACGAGTTAAAATCCACTCAATAATTAGTGGCCACCAAGTTTCAGTTGCATACTTGAGCGCCTTTTAAGCTTCTAGATGTTGCTTTACGCAGTCGGTTAGGTTACGTAGTTGGCTACTGGATTCCTTTTCAATTGGCTTCAAGCTGAATATCGCACGAGTATAATGGCGAGTGGCCAATCTGGAATTATCAAAACGAGTTTTTAACAGATTTATAGCTCTAGGATAATTTATCTCATTTATTTCCAGAGATTCAATTATCTTTTTCGCGTTTGCGTTCAATGCGGATTGCAAATAGTAAAATTTGTGTACATTCGATAGATTCTGATTCTTATCCACTAATGCTGAGAATGTACTATAAAATACTGGCCATTGCTCATAAGTTCCATCAAAAGTAGGAAGACTCATTACTGGTAGCCTCACCGATGTGCTTGCTGCAATCATATTCTCGCCCGCAATGCCTATGTTTGCGTTTTCTACTTCGACATTGACTCGTCTATTTGTATACTCTTCTATGATAAGACGCGCCCTTCCTACAGTCGCAAAATAGTTTTCCTCGAACTCTAATCGCTCTCTTTGTTGGTTATTCGCGAACTCTTCCGAGTATCTAACTCCTCTATTTGTTCTTGAACGTCGCTATAGCTATTCCACAATTGCTCGATTTTCTCTAGGCGAATACAAAGTTGCGCTAACTACGAATCCTTCCAGATATGTATTAAACTTCGTTAATTGAGTCTTAATCGTAGCACGTTTTTGTTTGAGATCGGCGAGACTTTTCTTTTTATCCGTCATTTTTACAAGCAAAAGGCACTACTCAGCTAAATACACTTTTAATGGACGCTATTACCTTATGGTATACGTACAGCTCTGCTCTTAATACTATTTGCAACGTCGTTTTCTACAAATGTATGATCTACGCTCTCGATACTTAGATTACGGCTTCTCTGGTTCCGTCGAATGAGTCTCGATGATCGAGGTACTCAAGTTTATCGAACTCCCTTTCGTCGGCCATTGTACGTGGCTGGACATTCAATGCCTCCCAGGACTCGACTTCCGCTCTCCTCTCAAGTTGCCGTGTAAGATAACCTCCACGTGTTTTGTTACGTGCAGCGGCTTCGCTCTCCAGTTTGTGTATTTCAGCCTTTTACCAGCTGAATCCGTGCTCGAAGGACCAAAATTTGTTAGTGAGTGAGTGTTGGGGTAGCTCTCAAAAGGGCTAGTTGATCGGAAATACCGTGAGACTTTGTTCTCGAAAGATCTTTATTACTTTCTCCTTAAACGCTAATCGGGCGACCTTCTACAATGGCTACCGTCCGACAACTGACTGCTGCCTCCTTCGTCCTTTCTTGCGCAGCTGCGCGCGCTGCGCTATCCATTCGTTTCCCGCTCGCGTAGCCTCCCATCTTTCGGCTCAATCCAAACTTTTTAGCGCTCAACACATATGTATAAAAATAATATTTAAAAATACTGTGTTGTATGGACTTCTTGAAACTTTTTATTTTATTTAGTTTCGAAAACAAATAAAATATAAAATTTACAGTAATACAAATGCTTTATATCAATAATATATTTCTAAATATGCTAACACTTTTAACATTTTAAAAATATAATTAGTATAAAAACATTTTTATTACTTTAAACTTTATGTATATGTATATGGAGAGGCAAAAAAAGCCTTAGTGGTGTAAGTCAAATTTTTTAAAATATTGAGCGCCAAGCCAATGGCATTAATCTGCAGGAGGACACGGCGAAGTTGAGCAGCGTTTATTTACCAATCATAGGGAGAATTTCGCATATGTAACTTCGCCTCTCGGAATTATATATTTAATGCCTATTTGTTGTGCTCGACACGTTGTGTCTCCCGTGAACAGTATTAATTTCGCTCTCCCGCAATAACGACGCGACCTATACATTTTACAGTAAACACAATGATAAGTTGCGTTTCGATGACGATGTCCGTTAATTTCCACGTGGCGACTGTCAGGTAATACTGCTTGTCTTCTGTTTCCTGATTGATTGGTCAGATTTTGTAATAGTTCTGTGTTTAATTAAGGCAACAGTCGCCCCGGGAAATTGCATCGTTCCGCTGTTTAACGAATTAAGACGACGTACTCGATCAAAGGATTTATGGCAATGCGGACTCTGCGGAATTGACGGCATGGCTGGAATGGCGATCTTTTATTGTTTGACGACAACTTGATTGCATGTAATTTTTTTTATATTTTATTACTGAGGATGGTCCAAAGCGAAGGACCGAAACGTTTCTTTATATAACTGTTTAAATACAGTTAATTTTGTCGCCTTGCTACTTGCTACCGGCGTTTTGGCTCTCATTTGCCTATATTGTAATTGTTTAAAATATTGACTTGTGTGCATAGATGCAATCTATGCAATATATAAATTGGATCTATGCACACAAGATAATATTTTTAAAAATTTGACTTACACCACTAAGGCTTTTTATCCTTCCAATGTATGGATATGATCTACACAATACATTTTAAACGCGTATTTGCAATATTACAGATACGTATCAAATACATAATTTACGTTTAACACGTATCGAATATATATTGTCATATACTGACATATACGTATCTGATACGTAACGTAATTACATATCTAGACGCGGACATTTATTGGTATTAAACATATATTTAGTACATGATTCATACATCTAAAATATAAAATGCTGTCCGGGTTGATATTAATTCAGCACATCAAAAAATATAGGAAAACATGCATAAGAAAGGTTCCATCGGCGCGGCCAAAATCAGGTTACTTTACCCATCATCCTTTCTCAAAATTATGACGTGATAAAACAATTTGATAAAGATGATGTTTGAAATACCGCGTTGTATCGACATGTGGACAGTGGTGTGCTGCCATCTGTTGCAATTTCCGAGTCAATAACCGAGTCCGTGAAAAGCTCTAGCGGGACCAATGCGGGCCCATAGTGACACACATAGAAAGTGTTGCGCGCGCAGCGGTGCAGCCATGCGGCGATGTAGCGCCACCCGATTTCCGGGTTCTTTACGGAAGTGAGATTGTTCTCGAGCGATCGTGCTTTCATTACGCATCGGTCTTTGATCGTGACAAGTCACGCGTGTCGAGTCAAGCGGATTCGTAGCTTTTGCTTTTAAACTACCCTTACAAAAAAGTATTACTAACTGGTTAGTAATAAATACTTATTTTGTGTATTAATAATACTAAAATTAAGTATTTATTATTTCCCAAATAAATATTGACAGTATTAAATCACTGAGATTTTAAGTATTTAGTCAGTAATACTTTTCTGTAAGGGTAATTGCATGATCAGATCGGCTTGTTCTGTATATCGACACTGTAGGTTGTGTTCGGTATTATTTCCAAAGAGAAGACTTATCTTATATAGAGGCTTTACGACGCCGACATATACGCAACGGACGGAAAGAAGAAGCATCCGTCATTAGTACTATGATTGAGGGATGTCCGCCATTGCAACCGATCCGAGTGACGAAAGCAATACCAAGGCCTTAAAATACGATTAAATCCTGCTTATTATTGAGGTCGCATGCCTCCTTTACGCTTCCACGAAAAGTGGAAGTTCCGACTAAGGTAACTCTCATTGTTCTGATTAAAAGAATCATCGATCCCCTTGAGTGGCTAAAGTGCGTTAGCTAAATGGCGATCTTTGATTCCAGAACTTTCGGGAGCTTAGCTGGTTGAAGTTTGGAACGTTCCTGGAGCAATTTTTTAAAACCAATTTGTTCCATTTCCCCTTTCGCACAGAGTTAGTTGTAAGCGTCAGACAAACAACAAAAAATAGTAGGAGCGAATACACGCGT